TTCTCTGGTTACACCTGTCTTATCTAGTTGGACGATTTCAACTGGTTCCACCAGTTTGTCCATTTTAGATAGTGGGATCATTTTAACAAGTTGGATCATGTTAACCAGTTGCACCATTTTATCAAGTGAGATCGTTTCTTCCAGTTGGATCATGTCATGTTACTAAAATATCTTCACCGTTTAGCCCATTTTATCAAATTTTAGATGGTTGGACCATTTTAACCAGTTGCATCATTTTGACTGGAGTACTAATTTCTATTCGTAACCCTAGCCCTAACCCATTTTACAAATTTAATTTGGGTTTAAGAGAGGTTTTAGTGTTTTCCCACAGATTCTACTACTATTTTGCTGACAACATTGTGTTTTAGCTCGTTTGCAGCTTTTTTAAAACTGAAATAAGCTCATTTTTGCAGAAAAACAAAAATATGTTTTCCATCCGAATTGAGCGTTTTTGTCAACTTTGGCGTAATATTTTGCAGAAATCGTGCATTTCTGTCATATTTTAGTGTTTTCAGACAAATTTCGCTGCGATCTTTTGAAAAACATATAGTTTCAGCTGGTTTGTAGCGTTTTGGTAGTTATCTTGGCGAAAAATAGGTAAGTCAACACAAATTATCTTTTTCGGTTTTAATGGGTTTTTTTTGCCAAAATTTCTCTGAGAACACTGTGTTTTAGCTGGATTCCAGCGTTGTTGCACAAACTCCATCGTTGTTTAGCTGAAAAGATTACGTTAAAGCTTTTTTTGCAGCGTTTTTGGCCAAGAATAAGCTAATTTGTGCAAAAAAATAAACGTTTTTTTCGGCCCAAATTGACAACAAGGATACACAACAACATTGGCTTATTACCTTATTTGTTTTATTGTCCTAACTTATGAAGTTAATTCAATTAATGCTACAGCATTGATTGAATGACATATCATGCACTTACTTAGGAGCAAGAACACTTTTTTTTAATTCAGAAAAATAACTTTTTACTTCGTTCAAGGATCGCTGGATATAACCTATAAAACCAAGATGAAGTTACATCTATTATTTGTCATAACTTACACTAAATTAGAAATTCAAGTAATGAAATGATGGTACTAGCCCTTTAATAGTGTGCAGTTATCCTCTTTCCTAGGGGCAATTAGCCCAAAAGTAAGTGATCTCAGGAGCCCTCCGAAAGACTTTTCTACTGCAATAACTAAGCTCTACAGAAGCACACAATGGAGACAAAGTTGTAAAAGAATCAATGAATTCTTTAATTCTTTGTCCCTGCCAGGCCAGCCTATTGTACAAATCTCATGGCCCAGTTTCATCAGTGAATTTTTCAAGCTTCAAGCTTTTCCTACAATTATAAACTTGTTCTCGAGGCTGACAATTAACAAGGTTCCTGTAAATTAAGTTTACAAAAAAAACTAACAATTTGTGAAAATCTCACAAATCCCAAGCTATATCCAGGATTTTGCTCTCAATAAAATCAACTTTTTAAGCAAATTTGGATTTTACCTTAGTGCTTCTTTTTGTTACTTTTTAAATACATATGTATAAATAATGATCCCCTGACTCTCCCCCAAATTTTCAGAACAGATGCAAACTCTAAAGAATGATCAAGCTTTACCTTACTATTGAAAATGTTTACAACTTAGAATACCAAATTATCACACAGGATTTCTTGGTACTTTGACCTGTTTAACACCCAAAAAGAAGTGCACATACATACTACACAGAATCAGTCTAGTCAAAATGTGCTGCAGCCAATAATCGCTCGTGGCAGAAATAGCTGAAATGGCCTTCATGTGAACACAACAGAATCCTCTGAGTGTATAACCATGTAAAACAATTTATTTGGTGTCGAAGTTACATCCCAAACCTCATGATATTTGACTGAAACTTAGCTTATCCATCTTTCGTTTAGACTTCAAAACTTGCTGCTTTCTCATCACCGTTTCAATGTTTTCTTGTTTTTCAAAAGGTGGTAGAGCTTGATTGCAGATAGTGATCTTTTTTACTTGAGAACTAGATCACAACACCCAAGCCTTTTCACGCTAGAATACCAAACTACTGAGATTCCCTTCGCCGCCTTAAGCCACCATTTCATCTTTCCTGTGTAGCCACATATCTATTCCTAGTCTATATATCAAAACCACGGTCAAATTAAATGAGGTATATTACTTCATTTGAGACGACATTGCAAGTGATGATTATCCTCCTTTGAAGAGAGATCGTGTTGATTTGATCTATCAACAAGAACAAAAATAAACGCCCACTACAATAAAAGGCCTAGCAACATTTAAGTAAATAAACTAACTAGTCTGCACTAGCTTCCCATCTTCATTCACATTGACAGTAGGAGGTATGTGCCCATAGAAACCATCCAAAGAATCTTTTCTGTCATCGAAAAGGAGGTCTTGGTGGATTATCGCATCACATTTACTACACATCTTCTTTCCACCACACTCTACGCATCTGTCATCACACTTTCCCTTGGCACAAATGGCACATGACACGGATGTCGTTACATATGTCGTGACATCGCGTCACGACTATGTTCGCAATGTATAATGGATAAATAAGTATGAGCACGCCTTCAAGATGGCGTGGTAATGTTGTTGTTTATAAATGTTGTTTTTTTGGAAAATGAGCCTTTATCCTGTCTCGAATGATTGAGCGAACCGCAAACTACGACAGAGCAACAACAGATTGTTAAAATTGAATATTTTACATGGTCCACCGGGTCGGATGAAAACGGATTACGATCAGAGATCTTCTTAAAACCGAATCGAACGAGATAAGCGCGAGTTCCTTGATGTTTTGATTTGAATCTTTGATGGATTAATCGCGTCTATCTTCATGTCTGGATAGCTTGCGAGGAAACGGAAGGTCCGTACGGGCCACAGAGTGTCAACAAGGAAAATTATTTCGTCTGTAGAAGAGATTTTGGAAACCCTTGAGGAACAGGATCAGCCATCGGCCATTATTACACGATTACGACAGCAGAAACTCCTGCTACAAGAGAAGCTCGACACAATTCGAAAGTTAGATGAAGATATCCTCGCAGTCGTCAGCGAAGATCAGATAGATGAAAAAATTTGTGAATCGGACGAATTCTTGGAATTTACGCAGTTGGCAATAATGAGGATCGATGCAGCATTGACTCCTAGCCAATTGACCCCTTCTTCTAGATCACCTGGAAATGTCTCGATGTCTTCGGAAACACACCCAAGCCCTTCTAAATCACACGAAAATGTCTCGATGGCTTCAGAAGTTCATCTGACTTCTTCTACATCGCATGGAAATTTCTTAGTGACTTCGGATACACCCTTGACTCCTTCCATATCAGGTATTTCCAATACTTATAGCTTAGGAACACAAGTAAAACTACCTAAACTAGACCTGAGAAAGTTTGATGGAGACATAAGCAAATGGCCCTCGTTCTGGGATGCTTTTGAATCATCTGTGCACAGCAATACCAAACTAGCTCCCGTAGATAAATTCAATTACCTGAATTCTCTTCTTGTGAACTCGGCTAGTGAAGCCATTTCTGGATTGTCCCTTACTGCTGCAAATTATGATGAGGCTGTCACCATCTTGAAGAGAAGGTTTGGGAACAAACAGTTGATAATCAATAGGCACATGGAGACTCTGTTAAACATAAGCTCAGTCAAATCAGGCCTTAACATCCAAGCGCTACGTCAGCTGCATGATCTAATTGAGTCTCAAGTTAGAAGTCTAAAGTCATTAGGTGTATCCTCAAGTTCATATGGAAGCCTCCTGTCCTCTGTTGTTATGAGTAAGTTACCGCAAGATTTGCGGCTGATTATCATCCGAGAAGTGAAGGATGAGTGGGATCTCGATAACATTCTGGATGTCTTCAGAAGTGAACTTGAAGCTAGAGAGCGAGCCAATGGGAACAATGTTAGCGCAATTGACCAATCGTCAACCAAACTTCCTTACAACAGAGGTCGCAAGGGATTGCCATTGTCAACAGATGCAGCGTTATTTGCCACCGGGTCCAAGCCAACCTGCACATACTGCCGAAAGGATCATGCATCTAATGCCTGTAAGAACGTGACAAGCATTGCAGCGAGAAAAGAGATTTTGAAAAGGGCAGGACATTGTTTTGTTTGTCTAAAAAGGAATCACATAAGTAAAAATTGCAGTTCAAGAATGAAGTGCCTCGAATGCGGACGTCAGAACCACATCAGTATTTGTACAAGCGACACTAACAATGAAGTCAAGTCTTTACACACTCCGAATGTTGAGGGATCAGCTTCCTCACCTCAGAGCCAAACATCATGCAGCCCTCCAAGAGAATCTAGTGGGAGGCCCACAGTTCTGTACGTCAATGCCCATCCTTCTTCAGACTGCCAAGGCAGCAATTTACAGACCTGGTCAACCTAACAAGAAGTTTCTAGCCCGACTAATTTTAGATAGTGGCAGTCAGAGATCCTATGTGACCACCACAGTAAAAGACAAGCTAAGGTTACCAAGTGAGAGAAAGCAGACTATTTCTGTAAAAACATTTGGTTCAACTGAAGAAAACACTCAAAGTGTGGATGTTGTTCACCTGTGTATCACTACTGAGCATGGAGATGACGTGCAACTGTCAGCATTTGTTATACCACTCATCTGCGATCCTCTACAGAGCCAATCCATTGTACATGCCAGTGTTACTCATGCACACTTAAGGGGACTCAAACTTGCTGACTACTCCACAGGTGAAGATGACATAATGGTAGACATATTAGTTGGATCAGACCAATATTGGCAATTAGTCTCTGAGAAGGTGGTACGGGGGGAGGACGGTCCCACTGCAATTCAGACAAAGCTTAATTGGATGGGTTCTCTCAGGACCAACAAATGGAGCAGTGCAAAATGACCAACAGCAGAACAACCTTGTGACAACGCATGTCCTGAAGACGGCAACAAAACCTGTGGACATTACAAATGAGGGCCTTGATGGAAGCCTGCAGAGGTTCTGGGACCTAGAGTCATTGGGTGTCAGACCAAGATCTGTGT